CACGTGGGCGGTTGTTCAAGAAACATTTCATGGATGTCCATGGACGTTCATGAAACATTCCATGGACGTTCATGGATGTTCATGAAATATTTCATGAAAGACCATGGACGTCCATGAAACATTCCATGGACGTTCATGGGCTATCATGACATTTTTTTTCATGAACGTTCATGGGCGTTCATGAAACATGTCATGAACGTTCATGAAAGCATGTCATGAACGTCCATGAAACTATTCCATGAAATGTTTCATGACAAGGAGTGAAATTAGTTCATGGAAAGTTTCATGACAAAAATGTCATGGACATCCATGGAACTTTTCACGGAATGCCGTGAAAATTTTCATGGAATTCCATGGACTTCCATGGAATTCCATGATATGTTTCATGGAAGACCATGGAAGTCCATGGAAGTCCATGAAAGTCCATGGAAGTCCATTTCATGGACGTCCATGAAATGTTTCATGGAAGACCATGGAAGTCCATGAAACGGTTTCATGGAAGTCCATGGAACTCCATGGAAGTCCATGGACTTCCATGAAACTTTTCATGAAAAAGTACGAAAATGTACAAGCCCCATGCACACGCCCGTCGGCTGCATCGATCGCACACATGTTGTGCTCAACACCCAGTCCTTCGTAATCCTGATCATACTCACATGCAGTGGAGAGGGCCATGAAGTTCCTCGACGGCATTTGACGGCCCACGCGATGCCAAAAACGCTCTTCCATAGGGATGCTCTGTCGGCCTCTCGACCTCCCTACCCCGTCTATCTAGTCTATCTATGTAGTCCTGTGCGTCGTGGCGGTCGAACAAGCCAAGATAGGTGAGTAGGTCTTGTTCCCGAGCTGACTCGAGCAACAGAATCAGGTGTATCTGTTCCATGCCGGCTAGGATGGCCGCCATCAAGACGGCCAGCATCTCTCCATGGTCGGTCCTGGGATAGCTCTTGGTTAGGGATTCATTCGTTGTTGTGAGGGCGTGTGTGGGTCTTCCCGAGGCGGGCTGGTGTGTTAAGGAATAATAAAAACACACACACACAGAGAAAGACTACCCATTCGAGATATACCCACAGTCGAACGGGATGTGGTGGAGTCTTTTCAGTGAGTGGAGGGAAACCGGCTGGGTACTGGACTTGTTTCGAGTCTGTTTAATTCTATACACTCTGATGATTTATACCAGTCAGTGATGCCAGCTGGTGCTAAGTACAAAAACATCTGTATAGGTAACTAACTCACATTTTACAATAATACATCCCCTGCAGTTCTCTACTGGGTCAACGACAAAATATCGGGCAGAATCCCTCCGTTGTGTCATGTAATGTAAAATGTAACCTTCACAGGGGTCACGGCGCAGTGTGTGTTGTTCGCTCCGCCAAAAGGCGTGCGTGCGTGGTTCTGTCCAAAACCAAGTAACTTTTCCCTTCTGAGTTCTGAGTTCAAAACCCGCTGGTCACCAAATTTTCTCCCGGAAAGCGGAAAAAGAAAAACGGTGGGTGGGCCAAGGGAGGACGCACTGGTTATCGAACTCGGAACTTCTGTAAACGTGGCGGACGTAGCGAATCCGTAAAACACGTACAGAGAGGATTGTTAGTTACCCAAGAAGACTTCTCTCTTGCCTGGAAAACAAGAAAAAGTCTCGAAAAAAGGGGGGGGGTAATAATGTGGAGACCACCTTCATAAAGGTAGAAACTCCCCAACGCCTGTCGAGGACGATCTCCTCTTTTAACACTCAGACCCTTTTCAATGATAGAGATGGGATTCGTTGTGTCATATTAAGAAGAAAAAAAAATAGATTTCCTCTTTTCACACTCAGACTCTTTTTAATGATAGAGATGGGATTCGTTGTGTCATATTAAGAAGAAAAAAAAATAGCTTTCCTCTTTTCACACTCAGACTCTTTTTAATGATAGAGATGGGATTCGTTGTGTCATATTAAGAAGAAAAAAAAATACTATTGAGAAAAAATATACATACATAGACTATGGATGTAAAGGTCCATTATTTGTTTCCCATCGCCGTGCCCAGTACCCCTCCATTATCTGATACACATTATTACATCCAGAACTCAGAACTGCAAAAAATCGACAAAATTATCGGCTGAACTGCGAATGAATGAAGAAAGACAGCACTACCAATTTATTAACGCATGCAAACAAAGAATGAAGACAACCGAAAAAAAGAATGAAGATCTAAGGCGGTGTAGTGCGTGGTGAAGGAAACCGCCTTATACACGGTCTGAGATTGGCCCAATAGGGCGGTGACCGCCTTATTTAAGACAAATGAAGAAAGGAGGTTTCAGCGTATTGGGCATCACCTCACGGCGCGTCGCTGAGTGGAAGAAATGGTCACGCGTCATGCATTCACGCGTGCGTATAGAACGAGCAAGATTGCTTGCAATTGTTTGAGTGTTGTTTGCAGCGGTATGTACGTGTACATCTGATGCCGTACGACCCCGCTGGGAGTGTACTACAGCAGAATGTACATCTGCATCCAACAATACCGCCGCACAAGGCTCTGGTAGAGTAGACGAATAACGTGTCCGAACCAACACTTCTCTTCGGCTGATGCGAGGGACACCGAATATTTTTCCTTCGTGAAGAACAAAACTTAAGCTAGCCAACATGGACGCACGCAATAGTTGGAAAGCAATCGTGCCACCGAAAAAATATATATTCGCTGCGTCCATGACGCTTGGCCGGGTTAAGCACTACTTGCCCCGGCGCTTGTACCTCTGAAAATGCGACCACTCTTTGCACAGCACACCCTGCTCTATGAAAGACAACAGCTGAGAGAACCCGTCTATCCGCCTACAAGAACTCTCTCATGTCCGACTGCCGCAAGGGTTTATATAGACGCGTGAGCTTTGATCATCGCCATTTTGGCCTTCTTGATGAAGGTGGAAAACGGCTTAGTGATTGCCGGACTCCCCCGCGGCCCTTTCCAGAGAGCCGAAGTTTTGGGAGAGTTGGCTAAGTGCATGCTCCGGGCCGACCGCGTGTGTGCAAAGAGTTATGTGTCCGCGCTCGTTCGCATCGAATTCCTCCGCGTAAAAAAATACGGTTTCGTGCGGCCGAACACAAAAAGTGTGTGCGCGCCTACAGTAGGGTTGTATTCCGTTTAGCCAGGGCGTTGTGTTGACCACTCCTTCAGGTGTCTTGGGCCACAAAGGTACAGGTGTTTCAGAGAGGGGCGTAGTGATGCGAAGATGATCACCGCCTTATATCGGATTTTACTTGGGTAGTTACCGCCTTATACAGGGATTGCCTACTATCTATATAAGGCGGTGCCGCCTTATATCGGGTCTGAGTTGTGTGCGCCAATTTCAGCCGCCTTATATCGGACAACCGCCTTATTCACACCGCCTTATATCGGCCCCCCTACTGTACTTGAATTCTCAACAAATGAAGTCATAGGGTAGCTAGAGAGGAGTGGGAGGAGTGGGCCGGGGTAGCCATCGAGAGTGGAGATAGAAAGGAGTGTATTTTCGTGTTTTCCGGACCTACCTTTAGAAGGGATTATCGGAACCGGAGCACACAACACCGTTGCCGGAATCGGAACAAACAGCAGACCATTCCGAGACGCGAGAGCGGTCAAGAGAGAAAAGCAAAAATTTAAAGACAACTTGGATACACAGACATACACACACCGAGAGGAGAGAAAGAGAGTAAGACACACACACACACACACACCGAGAGGAGAGCGAGAGAGAATACGGTACCAAGGTGATAGGAGGTGAGTGCATACCGTTTGAAGGTGTTAAAAGAAACAAAAAATGTACATACCGCGTGTGAAGGTGTTAGAAGAAAAAACCA